TTATATCAATCGATTTTTTTAGACAACAATAATTAACATTATAGTCACACACATAACAAAATCATTGTATTCTAATAAAATGTCGCATTAATCATCTTAAAGTATTAATGTTTTAATCTTTTTACTAAAGAAATTTATTTTAAAAAAATTGACAAATAAAAAATGGGCTAGGCCTGTTGAGCACCGTGGACTTGGTAAAATACGGGTAGAGTGTTTAATTCCAGCCGATCAAGAGGTTGATATTCCTTTCATAAGGGGATAGTCTTTAATTATTCGAGCCCATCAATGTAATGAAGAATATGATGTTGACAGATGAAAAAGAATTTGATGTTGATCAACCAATCAAAAAAATTATTTCAACACTTCAAAACCATTTAAGCTACGATCTCATGTGGCTACTTTGATTTTATTTGGAGATTAAGAAGGTGCTTGGTACTGCGGTGTTTTTCTGAATATAACTTCTGTTTTGAATTGTGGTGGTTTACTTTGTTTGGCATTTTAACTTCTGTTTTTTCTACCATTATTTTGTACATAAAACATCGTTTCAGAGAAGTAGTTATGAGGTTCTTTTGCTTTTAGCTTTTATGAAAATTACTTTATCTAGAAGTTAATCACTCACAAACATCCTCTAATTATTGTCTGTTATTTATTAACTGATTTCAATGACGCATTTAGTTAGTTGTTTTAACGGATTGATTTTATTAATAATTAATTTTTTAATAGCAAATTTAGCTATTTATAAAGTGTTGCTTATAGTGGTAATTTGTTCTATTATGGAGTATTACTTAATCATATGTTATTGTAATTGGTTTAATGATTAAATTTTTTATAAAAATTCAATTTGTTAGTGCAACTTTAATGGAGTTGCTTATGATGAGTTTTTAGCTAAGATATAGTTGCTTCTTAAGACTACCTTTAATGCCTCATGGCACCATACTCGTGAATGCGCCGTGATCCTAGTTGGCATGCCCAAGTGGCAATGGTGATCACGTCTACACCATCTCTCCCCTCCGCCCTGTTACTCTCTCGCGTGAAGCAAGTTGGGAGCACGGCCACGACGGTAAGCTATTGTTCTGAGTATTTTTTTTCATTTTATTTAATTGTTATGCTAAATTGTTTGTTTTGCTCATAACTATTTGTATGGAGTAAGTTATTACTTGACAATAAAATGTTCTTCTAAATATTTCTACAAGATCGATCTACCCAATGACACCAAAATTACATATATAATTTAATTTTAATGTTATGTCTCACTTATAATTTTTTCGTCTAAATACTTCTGAAGTGTTTATTACGGAGTATATTTTAGAAACGAAACACGATTTAATATTAAATTATGTTTTCCTATATCATGTAGTTTTTATTTTTTTACATAATGAAATCATTTATTTTTTAATTAATGTAGTTTATTATTTTTTAATTTAATTATTATAATATAAAAAATGAATAAAAATTAAAATTCCTGATAAAAAATAATAAACCTGAAATAAAAATAATAATAAACCAAAAAACATAATAAAATAATTCTTTATTATTTTATAAAAGATAGAAATTAATTTTAATAAAAATAAGTATCTTTAAATGATAAATAAATGTGTAATCTGCTACATAAATTTAAATATGTATATCATTGAAACTGCATTTTAAAAAACGTTTTTCCTTATATAGTTTTACTCCGTATAAGATATACTTTTTCCATTCATGCTAAAATTTATGCTGTCTATTTAATTACTTTTTAATAAAAACAAATAGTTTAAAAATCTAAACCTATGTTTAAAAAAATTCTGAACTTAATTAATTTTAATGGGGTGCAACTACAAGGATATCATTATTGTATTAATTTGGCTAGGCTTTGATCTTCCATTAAAATCCATTTTTAATGCTTCCCATTATGTCTTCAAAATTAATTTAATAATTGATCATTTATGTTTTCAAGTGAATATATATTTCAAGATTACTTTTTTTAATATAATGTTATTTAAATACTAGATACCTAAAGTTAGAAACTAGAATACTCTTAATTGTTGGGAGTTTCTAAATATTCTAAGGTGACAACAATCTAATTTTTTCATAGTAAAATGAGTGTGTTTACTGTTTAGTAGGGAGAATTTATAACAATAATGCAATGTAACAAATTTTTTTGAAAAAATTCTATCTATTATAATATATGGAGTAGTATTTTTTTATACTTTTTCAATTTAATGCAGTAAAATGAGCCAATATCTTTATTTTTACTAGAAATCAAATTTGAGTGAGTTTTCAATTAATCTCTCAACTAGAAAACTTCCTGCTAGGGTAAAAAAGAATCGAAATGTAATGTCACAACTTGAAATACAAATAAATGGGGCACCAAGTTGGACTGTATTTATTTAGTACGCGTGTATGGGCCTAATGGGGAGTTAGATATGAAAGGGAGAATTTTTCAATGATGGTGGACTCATGATTTTGCATCAAACAACACCAATAAGGTCTACTCTTACACTTCCCCCCTCAAACAATTTTTTGCTTTGACTTGGCACAAACACAAAATTATTTTGGAGGACCTTTAATTTTCTAGAAATAACTCAACTCTCAAAGGTTTTACATTATCTAAAAAGAAATCTACTTAAGTAGGAGTAAAAAAGCATGCAAATATTAAAATGAGAGTCCTAAGTCTTTTAATACCAAAATAGAAGTATAATGACATTATGATGTAAAAGTAATGTTGGCAGTGTGATCGAAAAGTGATGATTGCGTAATATGTCAATATGAATAGTCAATCTTAAAATGATAGTCATTTTTTTATTAAATTTAAATAAATTCTTCAATTTATTATAGTATAGGAACATGCAATTATAATGCCTAATTTGAGTACTCATACACTTGCTTCTGCGAGCATTTTTAATTTAATTTATAGGTGGTGAACATTGCATAAATGAAAATACTTTTAATAGAATAAGAATAATTCTAATGAGAAAAACACCCCCACAAATCCCCCAGGTCCCGACCCATCAATTTCACCCCACCCCACTCCAGCCCCTGCACCCCTGCTAGATCGCCGATTTGGGCCCTCAAAGCGATTGGTTGTTTACTTAACTTGTAATTGATTGTTTTCCATGAAATTCTAATAAAAAAATGTCTTTGGATATGAGTAAAAACGTTTGAAAATACCAAAATAGAAGTATAATAACAATGTGGTGTAAGAATATGCATTGCCAATGTGGTAGAAGTGATGACAACGTAATATGCCAATGTGATCAGTCAACCTTCGGGAATCTTTAGAGGCACTCATGTGACCAACGGCGACGGATGACAGTGTGTCGTTGATATTGTGGCAGTTAAAATATGACAATGTGATGAGTGTAACACTGTAACAATGACATTGTGAAATCTCTTGTGGTCTTAATTGACTTGTGACTCTTATTTTAGTATTTTCATAGTTTTTCTCTTATCTAAGAAATTCTCCCATTCTATTTTTTTAGTTTCTTTAATTGTTTTACTTAAATACATTAGAAACTTATTAAAGAATAATGATACTTCCTCCGTCCTAAAACTTTCTTCCTAGAGCACTATTCCAACTTCACGGGAATTTATATTTATTTGTGTTTTTTCATGGCCTATATGATAGAATAAAATATTATTGTCACCACTTGTTTTGTTGAACTTTTGATGTAGTTTTTAAATATGTATGTTTTATTTTTTATTTCTATACCAATATTTAAATAAAATAGATTGAAAAAACTTGAGATTTTTCTTTGTTTTGCGCAACGGAAAGAAAGATGTAGGACGAATGGAGTAGATAGATATCAAATTTCTAGAGATAGATATCGGTCCTTTCCTATTTTTAAAACTATAGTGGATACAGTATTATTTGGCCCATCTTCTGAAAGAAAATAAAAACCAAAAGGACCATGCCACAGTTACACCAAGAATTGTATCCCATTTGTACACCGTAGTTATACACAAACATTTTGATAGTTTACACCGACATAAATATTGGTACGTTAATAAAAATTTACACAGACACAAAGTGTGAAGTTTTTATCAAAATGCCCTGTAAATGTTTCGTATTTGGTGGACTACCCTGTAAAGGTGAATTGACGGAAATGTCCAGGCATGTATGACCGACGCGCTTCTTAGAAAATGAGAAGTTATTCCATTTAACGAAGCGTAAACGGCGTTTCAACTTTAAATTTAAATAAAAAATCCGAGAATGGGCGAAACGACGTCGGAAGAGACTATACAAAAACCCTCTATAAACATCTTCCTTCATCGTGCGACCATTGAGTTTTCGATCTGTGTGTGCTCTATCCCTCCTCTTCGACACCTGCAAAACTTGATCGAAACCCTACCCATCCAAAGTCACCGATCTCGGAAAACCTTGAATTTCTACAATGAGGACGAAGAATGCTTCTGTGTCTTCCTCCAAGAATGGAAACGATGAGTATCATGCAGAAGAGAGGATGAAAGAGCACAGCGGTAGCCCAAAGCCCACACAAGGAACATTCGAGGTCAGAAACTTGATTTTAAATGAATTATTCTCTCTCCAAATAAGCAATGGACAATGGTTTATGAATTTTTAGTCTTATCAACTTCATGGATCGACTAAAATAAGTGTCGACCTAAAGGTCGCACTAATTGCATATCTTTCCATATGAAATTCGTTGACATTATATGCCGTTATATAGGTTCCGGCGATAAAGACGAAGGTAAATTCAAAGGACTTTCCACATATGAAGCTAGGGTAGAAACGACGCTCTGCTGCTGCAACGGTATGATAACGATAACGTAGCGATTACAGCTTAGGGGAGAAGGATAAGAGAGTAATTTCACTTTGATAGAAAGGGTAGGTTAATAAATAAAATCCATTTTAGGGTAGAGTGATAAATTCCTTCCGTTTTTAGGGCATTTTGAAAAAGCACCCCACACAGTGTTGGTGCGTTAAAAAAAATTAATTTCACGAAATGTTAGTTCAAATCTGAAATGTATAAATGGGGTAAAAAATTGTGTGGTACAAATAGCTTTATCCAAATAGCTTTATCCAAACCAAAATGGTGAGGCTAGAAATTCATTTCTGAATTCTGATTTCCTCACCCAACAGATTCGGCCGGGAGAAATGGGGTGCATCGGAGAACAAATTGACGCCATTAAATCTGTATAGTTCCGGCAGCTACTCACTCAAGCTGTTACTCTCGGTTCGTCTCCTCTTTCTCCCGTCTCTGCTTTTGCATATCTCTGTGTTATGTAGAACTGTGAATAGATTCATATATGTCTGTTCAGGTTTTACTCGTTAAATTCATGTATGTTTGCTGATTCAATTTGGATTTTTTTCTTCTTTCTGACGATCGTTATTAGGCGTTATATTCTATGGCTTGTTTTGTAAAATCAAATTGACTCGTTCTAGAATATGTGTTGAACTGAGGATCTAGGTTAAACGGAAAAATGGTGGGGTGGAGGATGATGAAACTAGGGGTGAAATTAGTTGCAAATTCTACCCTACAATCGGCTGCACAGGAAGAACCATATATCAACTCTGCACCCTTTTTTGTTGGTTTTTCCAAACAGTGGTATCTATAGTTTAGCTTGTTTTGTGAGTTATGATTATGTGATATGAAGGGACACTTTTTTATATAAGAATTTAAGAAGTAATCGAATGAATGACTAGACTTAAATATATGGGATGGGAATTAGCTAGAGGAATTTATTGAAGGTCGTGCTTGCTTTGAAGGGAGGGGTGGAAGGATTCACCTCTCAGGCTCTCACCTTGTTTGGTTAAAATTTCAAAGGGGACAGAATTTTCATCTTGTCCCCCCACCCCCACCCTCACATTCTTCTTCATCCTAACTCAGGGGTGGGGAGCTCCCCTCTATCCCTTCCATTCCTTTAAACCAAACACGACCTAATTAAGATTCCATTCATAAGAACTAGTGTCATGGGTGCATATATGCAATTACTATATCTAGTAGACATATACGTGGCAAAGATAGTGTTATGTGGCCCAGTAATAAGGGCTACATCATAGGTGTAGTAGTCTCATTTGTTTCTTTCTAAAGACATTTGAATAGAAAATGATATTCTATCCTAGTATCCTGTATGGATTTCAAATTGCTTAAGATTTAGGAGTAATTCTCTGAGTTTGGGTTTTCATTCACTTTCAGGTATGATTGTTGCTTCTGCATTGATCATATGGAAAGGTTTAATGTGCATAACTGGCAGTGAATCTCCAGTGGTGGTTGTTCTTTCTGAAAGTATGGAACCTGGCTTCAAAAGGGTGAGCTAGAGATTAGATCTGGCAGTCCTTTTTCACTCTGATAGCTTAAACTTTTCCTGGCCCTAGTGGATCCATACTTATTGGCCTTAAATCCTACTACAACTATAATTAATGTTAGTCACTCAACCCATATGTAACATGATGTTACATATGAACATCCTCTAGTTTTTCATGAGCTGTTATAGAACTAATGCTTTTTATCTTTCAGGGTGACATATTGTTCTTGCGTATGACTGAAGATCCTATTCGCATTGGAGAAATAGTTGTGTTTAATATTGACGTGAGAAGCAACTCATGACCAATTTTCAGTCACAGCCTTTCTTTTGGGCATTTGGAAGCAACTCATGACCAATTTCATTGCCCTGAAGATGCCATACAACTCACCCTCCTCAATGGTTGTGTAGGCATGGAGCAATGGTTTGTGATGTACGCCCTGGACGGGAGTGATTCTTGGAGTACTACTCCGATTGCCCGACTCTTGAGTGAGGCATTATTATTTGCATTTAAATGATGAGGAATACCCACCCAATAGCAGATTTCTAGAATGAAGGCTAGAATCGGGGGTAAGTGCAACGATATCTGAATTATCTCCTGCGCCAACAGTTTGAAAATCTAGAGGTCCCAACCCTGTCCATGATAGCGCCAGATAAGCGAAAACACTAGATCCAAGGTGATTTTGAGCCCACGCGTCTCTCCTATTAAGGTAAACGACTCTTAAGAATAATATTCTACCTTGTTTTGATGTACAGTGTCAAAGGTTCATCAAAACAAGGTATAATATCATTTCTAAGACTAGTTTACCTTAATAGAAGAGACGTGTTGGCTCAAAATCACCTTGGGTCCGGTGTTTTCGCTTATCTGGCGCTATCCCGGGCAGGGTTGGGATCTCAAGATTTTCAAAGTATTGACGCAGGAGAAAATTTAGATCTCGTTGCACTTGGCCCCGCTTCTAGACTTCATTCTTGAAATCTGCTATTGGGTTGGTATTTCTCATTATTTGAATGCAAATAGTGATGCCTCACTCAAGACCCGGGCAATCGGAGTGGTACTCCGGGAATCACAAGACACTTCCATCCAGGGCGTATATCACGAATCATTGCCCCATGCCTACTCAACCATTGAGGAGGGTGAGTTGTATGGGATCTCCAACGCATTGAAAATTGGTCATGAGTTGCTTCCAATTGCCCAAAAGAAAGGCTGAGATTGTGACAAAGGTTTGGCAATCAATAGTTGCATTCATTTGATACTTGTGGTAGTTGGCATTTCCATCATACTCCCTCCGTCCCCAATTTGATTACAAATTGCGGGTTACGGAGTAAAATTTTCTACTTTTTGAAATCATTTTATTTACAAATTGGTATATCAATAAGCTATAAAAATTACATATTAAAAAATTGCATCAAAAGTTCTACAAAACAAGAGGTGACAAGAATATTTTATTTTATCAAATACTTAATGAAATCGCGTAAACAAACAAAAGTTATCGAGAGGAGAGAGAAAAAAAGATTGTAATCTATTTAGAGACGGAGAGAGTATCATTTTATATGCTCTGAATGTGAATCCCTGAAGCCTGGATGGGATGGGTTCTGAATATAACAGATCCCTTCAATCCTTAGCCATCATCTTTATATGCGTACTTGCACTATATTAATGGGTATTGCTATTGTTTTTCCTATTACTTAGATGGATATTCTGAAACTTATGATATTTGTCATGCTCTTTCAAGTCCATCGTTTTTCCTTGTTTGACTGACTTATGACTTGCTATCGCATTGTGTTGTAATAGGGACGTGAGATTCCAATAGTGCACAGAGTGATAAAGGCAAGTCATTTGTGTGTATTCCATTTACAAGAATCCCTTTCGTATTACTTATGTCTTTTTGATAACATGCTCACCAGCGACCATTCATAGAGGTGCACAATGGGTAAAGCTCCGCCTTGTGACCCTAGCAGGGAAAAGTATCACAAGGATGTGAACCAGTCTAGTTTGCCCACACCACATGAGTTCAACCAAGAAGGCCATTAGATAGCCCCAATGTTGTTCCTAGACACAACCAATTGGTTTGCGTTTGAATTACCCTACCAATTTGACTACCCCCAACTTATGTATGGAAGTTATCATGAGAAATTGGGACATAAATGAGTTGAGATTGTTGCTATTGTCATGTCCACATGGTTAATATTGTAAAATCAACGCATAAAGCATGGAACATGGCGATTCCTATCTGATTTCAATGATATTTTTTGGTTCTAGGTTCACGAGCGCAAAGATACAGGGGAAGTAGATATACTAACAAAAGGTACTTGTATGTATGTTATTAAGAAAACCTCGGGATGTATTTAGATAAATCTTTTCTAGATTTCCCTTTCCGTTTAGCTTCCAGCAGCTTTGAAATCTAAGTATTCCATTCAGGGTGATTTTTTACCTCCAGTTGTTTTGGAAACAGCAAAAAAAAGATCAAAATTTTGGAACCCGGAAAAGGAGTGTTCAGTTTTCCGTTGGAAGTCTTAAAATGAATATGTTAAGAACGAGTGCTTTCTGTTTTCAAGTTTCAGCTTTCTTCAATCTTGTGATTTCTCAGGAGACAATAATTTAGAGGATGATAGATCTCTGTATGCCCATGGGCAGCTCTGGTTACAGCGTCAACACATCATGGGGAGAGCTGTTGGGTAAGTTTTGCACTAAAAGTGAAGCTTAGATTCATTTTTAATTACTGATAGTTTCTCCCGACGGAATCAGATGCCTCTAACAATAGATATATCTTTAGACCTCAATCAAATTTACTCCATAGTCAGTACTTAAAAATTCAACCTTTCATATAATCATAGAGTACAGAGTATTTATTTTTGAGCATGTTATTTGAAATTTGTTCTTCATCTAATTCCTGATTTGCTGGTTGGTTCTCTCCAGGTTTTTGCCTTATGTGGGCTGGGTAACAATAATTATGACTGAGAAGTCTATTATCAAGGTGTGATTATGAATGTAATTCTACAATTATATCGTTCCTTTCTCTTTCTCTCTACCCCGTGTCAAGGAACCAATTCAAACAAAAGCTCAAGCTTGTGGTTGTGGTCCACGAAATATTTCTTATATTCTAACACCCCGCACCCTTCTCTCCTTGGATATTCATTTATGGGTGTGTTTGGTAACAAGTCTATTGGGTTGTTTTTTTTCCCTAAAAAAAGAGCTCTTTTTTAAAGGTAAATGAGCAGTTTGATTTTGGTCAAAAAGCTATTAGAAGTGTTCGATAAACAATATTTTTGGTTTGAAAACACTAGTTTACAAAAACTTGTATCCAACTCACAACTCTCTTAAAAAAAAAAACTCTCTACTTTTTAGCCAAAATCCCCAAACTGTTCATGTTTATCAAACACTATTTTCCCTAAACAAAGTTGATACAAACATCTAATAGAAACCAACTGACGTGCCTATGACTAGTATCGCTTCCCTGCTCTTATCCCAAAAAGAAAAGAAAGAAGAGGACCTGTATAGACTCTATAGCAACAAAACACAGTAGTTTGACTTAGGTATTATCTTTTGCTTGCAGTATATTTTGATAGCTGCTCTGGGGTTGTTGGTCATCACATCAAAAGACTAGGGCCAACCACACGCCGGTCTTCTCATCTGCAATGGGTCAAGTGCGTGAGTGTAGTATAGGCTATAAAATTAACGGTGGCCTCGCCAAAATCTATTCAATGCAGTTGTATTCAGAAAAGAAATGATTCTTGGTTCTTGTGAGCAAGTCTACTTTTTTCTAATGCAAATGAGTTTGTTCACTTGAATGACTATGGATGATGATAAATGAAGCATAAAGTACAAGACCTAAGAGTATCATTGAAGCACAGAGATGTGTGGTAGTCTACCTTGCATTTGCTTGCAGTCTAGCAAGCTTCATTGAAGCAGTGAACCTTTGTCGCGAAGAAAAGTGTGGTATCTGACAACTATGGGTCTTGAAGCTATCTCCTAATGCGTTGTTATCCATCGTCTGTCTCTCCTCTTGCGTCTCGTGCCCAACTTCTCTTGTGCCGGGAACTCCCTAAAAGCTTAGGTAAGATCAATTGCTTCATTCATGTACTCATCAATTGCTAGATTGTTTCCTCACTATTTTGAGGCGGATCCATACTTTTTTCAAATTTTCTTGCTGGTTTTTTTTCCCTCAATTTTTGTTTGACTAAAGAAAAATTTTCCCACTTAATATCACATGTTTTCTCCAGTTTCACTTAGAGCTGATGAATAGATCGGATGGTACGTGATATGCAAACGAGGTGATGGATGAATCGAGTAAAGATACAGAGTTAATGGATAAATAAGGGTGAAGCTCTACCCGATCCAAACCTGACTCATTACCATCCCTGCTAATTTTGTGTATCAACAACTAGGGATGTAATCAAATCAAATATTTTAAATTCGATTCGCGATTTGTATTCGAATATGATGATTCGAATTCGCGTTATTCAAATACAAATTCAAATTCAAATATTATTTTTGATTCGAATATTAATCAAATACAAATACACATAGGAATATATTCGATTCGGATGATATTCGAGTATTCGAATATATGTATATATACACAGACCAAGTTTTTAACATCAAAAGTCAAGCAAAGTAATATAGTATAAAGTGTATTTAAAATACTAAGAATTTCATAAATTAACGTAACACGAAAATCTAAAGCATATGATTTTTAATAGTTATATTTTATAAAATATAATTTGTGTAAGATGCAGATGTATTAATGTTTTTATATACAGAATATAGTATAGTATAAAGAGTATCGTAAGTTAAATTACAAATTGATGTTGGTCCATCATATAAATTACATAGTATGATTATTCAAATATTCGTTTATGATTCGATAACTATTCGAATATTAATCAAATACTTATTCAAATCTTATTTTGAATTCGTCTCATATTCGGATTTGTATTCGAAAAAATTAAACAAATACAAATTCAAATATATCGGTATTCGCTTCGATTCGGTTCGTTTACACCCCTATCAACAACCACAAAATTTGATTGCCGCAACTATTAACAATAAGTCTTCGTACTTTGAGAATAAAAAATATCTAAACAATGACTTCCACTGTCCTAAAAACATCGTTCTTTTTTTAATAACATATATGGAGTAAGATCTTTTTTCTTTTGAAATAATTTTATTTTTAAATTAGTATATAAATAAAATGTATAACTTTCATATTTAAAAACTATATCAAAAGTTTTATCAAATAAATAAATGGTGACATGTCTATTTTATTTTATCAAATAATCAATGAAAACACACACATAAACAAAAATTGTCAGGAGTCTAAATTAGTATACAAAATGATAGTTTTGCGGCGAAGGGATTAGCCCAACGTGAAATTTTGCTTTAAGATATTTTACTAAAATTATTTTTAGTTCAAGTTTATTTGAAAATTAATATAGAATTTAAAATAAATATTTTTTAAAAATACATTAAAAATTTTACAAAACAAAAAGTTAATATTACTATATTGTATTATCAAATGAGTAAAAAAATAGAAAAAATTTGATAAAGTAAAACTCTCACTAAAGAGGTATCAATGACTAGCAATCATCAATTAAAAGTTGTGTTTTTTAGTGTGACTGACTCAACTATAATATGCAACCATGCTACGATTACAACAAAGAAGTGTATCTCAAAGTTACACCAAAAATATACATTATCATTTTGATGATTCAAATTGACACAAAATGCTAGTGCAATAAAAAAAATTTACACAAACATTATGTACCTGTGTAAATTATCACCATAGTATAACATTGATGAAAAATGAAAGGGCACACCTTTGGTGTGCAATTTGTGGCCGGTGCAAATCTTGAGCTACAAATAACTTAATTCTATTATATACTCCCTCCGTCTTAGTATAATCTTTCCATTGAGTTATGATATTTGATTAAAATTATTTTTAAATCATTTTATAAGAAAAGTGATGTAAAATTAAAAAATAAAAATTATATATTTAAAACCTTTATTAAAAGATCTATAAAATTAGAAGTGACATGATAATATTATTTTATTAGATGACATCGAAAATAGACTAACAAAGTGAATAAGTTGATACTGTGAATAACAAATGAGAAGATTACTTGTAGACGGAGGGAGTAATACAATACTTGTAATACTAGTGTTTTTTTATTTATGTTTGATGATGGATCAAATTATGAATGTAAGAATTTGGAATTGATTATTAATGATATGAAGATTTTATTTTTTAAAAAAAAAGTCAAAAAGAGAAATATAAGAAGAAAATCACGAGAGTATCCTCCACCCCAACCTTCCTTTTAGGCTTTAGCTTCGGCTCCGAGCCGAACATTCACTTGACCGTTGTGGCGTTGCAATTAAATCCCATTCAAAATCCGCCGTGAAACCGCCTTCTCCACCTTAAAACCTCTCTCTCTCTCTCTCTCTCTCTCTCTCAATTCGAAATTCTCCCCTCTTCGATTCTCTGAAAATGGTGTCCAAGAATACCCCGGCGAAGTGCATCAGGGCGCACAAGAATCATCTCCGGCGAGGCCGGAAAAGGTCTCCGATCAAGAATCCGGCCACAGCCACCGTCGCGTCCGTCGTGGTCGCCTCCATCAACAAGTCCCTCTACACCTGCCGCGGCCGCCTCGTCAAGTTCTTCTCCAAACTCAATTGCATTTCCGGCACCCCAAAGAAGAAAACCCCAATCAGAAAACGGAGCAACTACCAGATTCTCCAGAAACTCCCCCAGCCCGATCTCCGGCGTGCTCTGTTCGAAAATGACGAAATTACCCTCCCGCCCCTCATCGCCCCCGGAAAAAGCACAGTCTTTCTCGATCTAGACGAGACTCTGATCCATTCCAGCACAAACCCACCGCCGGAAAAGTACGATTTCGCCGTCCGTCCGGTAATCGACGGAGAACGGGTCGATTTCTATATTCTAAAGAGGCCATTCGTGGACGAATTCCTCGAATCTTTAAGCGAAAAATTCGAGATTGTGGTGTTCACAGCTGGGATAAAGGAGTATGCCTCTCTGGTTCTGGACAAGCTGGACAAGAAAAACTTGATTTCACACAGACTGTACAGAGATTCTTGCAAGGAATTGGACGGGAAATTTGTGAAGGATTTGTCTGATTTGGGGAGGGACATGAAGAGGGTTGTGATCGTAGATGACAACCCGAATTCGTACGCGTTGCAGCCCAGAAACGCGATCCCGATTCGCCCGTTTATGAACGATCTTGAAGATGGAGAGCTGAAGAGGTTAATGGAGTTCTTTGATGGGTGTGATGGGGTTGAGGATATGAGAATTGCTGTTCAGGATTTTCTATGTGAAGATGGTGATGACTGCAACAATGTGCTGGTGGAAGTATGAATTTTTTTTTTACAGTCAATTTTTTTTTTCTTGCAATACTGTTTTCTATTTGGGATTTGAGATTTGCTTGTTTTGTTTTTGTTTTGTTTTTCTTCCACTTGAAATATATCTTCAACTGGTGATGTTGAATGCAATGGGAATCAATTTGAAAAGCAATGGCAATTTGAATAGTTATTGTTTGATTGATGAAATACACATATTATAAAGCGAATAGTGTTAGTCTTTTTTAAATTAATTTATACCATTTAAAAAGCGTGTAGTTTTGACAGTATTCATTGTTAATTTTGCTATGTCAGTCTTCATTTTCAGACGTAAATATGACAGACGTAAATATGATAAGCACGCAATACGGATTTGGACCGATTCAAAGCTAATTCGAATTCTCAAGGATGATGAGATCATTTAGATGCATCCATGTAAAAACTAAATTGGTCACAAAACTAGAGTCCAATTTCAATCTCGATTTGGTGGATCTAAATTCATCAATTTAATCTTCAACATACGTTAAAGAATCAAATGAACATAAATATAGTACAATTATTGCAGATTGAGGGTAAAAAGTGAAGCTTGCACTTAATACTTGCAAAGTTAATTTTGCAAAATTTTGCAAGTTCCAAAGTGTCCTTAAATTAGGGCAAAATTTTCACCAAAGAGCTCTGCAAAGTAGGACTCTCATACCCCAACAAAGTTCACAACTTTTGGTGAAACATCAAGAATTAAGTACTGAACAAATTTTCCACACTGAATATGCTTGAAGTTTCAAATGCATAAAAATATGTGTATTTGAAATTGGTAATGCCTTAGAATTGGAAAATTAGATTTCATCCAAATCACTTCCATAAAATTCTACTCCCTCCGTCCCAATTTATTTGCAACACTTCGAACGACGTGCAAAATATCATCTCTTTTAAAATCACTTTAATTTCAAATTGGTAGAATAATAAAAAGTAAAAAATTACACCATTTAAAAGTATATGAAAAGCTCTACAAAACAAGATGCGACAAGAATATTTTATTCTAACAAATGGTCAACCAAAACGAGTAAACAAATAAAAGTTATCGAGAGGCCAGAATAGTAAACGTGGCATTTTTCTGGGACGGAGGGAGTATCAATTTAAATTCTATCAGTTCTGTATACCAAACACACCCTTAAATTTGAATTTTCTTTAGTCATTAAAAAATGTCTCTTTTATATACAAATTATAAAAATTACGAGTAACATTTTTAAATTTCAACAACACATTTTTTTACAATTGAGTTTTTTTTTTGAAATTTTCAAAACTAAGGACGTGTTTCTCTATACTGGTGCTTATTGACTTATTGTCGATGAGTAATTTTTAACTTATAAGCTACTTATAAGTAAAAAAAATATTCTCTTCTGTAAATATAATGACCTAAATGATACTCCGTAGATAAGTCATTTGTAAATATTCATAAATGGAGAGGGACAATTTTGTAATTAATCTGGTTAAAATGAAGAAATGAAAAAATTAACTTAAAAATAAATAGTTAAAATCTACTTATTTATTTCTAACTTATAAGCATCTTATAAACACACGATCAACTGATTTATAAATTTAAAATTGATCATAAACACTTTTGATCAGCTTATACAGACACAAAAATAAATCACAGGAAACCAACTAAAACTCAGAAATCAGTCTGATCCGACCATCGATGAATGTTACAAAACGCGCAATCCACAGAAATATCCAGAAGAAGAAGAAAAAAACAACAACAAATTTCTTTTTTTGCTTTTTGTTTTGTCAATTGCAAACGGAGACCTGTGAGGGCAATCTGGAAGCTTCGGCCCGGGAGAAGCATAAGTCATCGATGACGTCACTACGGCACCACCGGCAATCCTGCCTCTGCGAGCACTGGGATCTGGATCTGATTTCGCGGCAGTCGGGTTGCGGGCTGCGGTTCACGGCGCGGCGGATCCCTAGAAGTCTCCGGGCAGGATCCGTGACGACGGCGTCTGCGGGGATTCGAGTGGCCAGGAGAATTGCGGAAAAGGAAAGGGCAAAAGCTTTAACGGCGAGTGCCATTTTTGGAGAAAAAATAGAGATTAAAGTGCGGTGTGGAATGAGCGAATTCGAGAGCCAGAGGGGTCATCAACTAGGAAGATATCAAATTAATTACGGAGTACGTCATTTTCATCCTCAATTAGCCCAAAAGAGATGCTAGGAGGGGAGAGTGTGAGATGTTGATAGATGCTATTGTTGTAGGTATGTGCTCATTATAGATGCCCAAGGAAGAAAAAGAGAGGGGGATGCTTCACATAGCACAGATGCTTGAGGGGGAAGGATTTCATGCATTCATTTCTTTAGTTTTGTGGTCCAATGATTATGTGTCATGTGTCATATATATATTCAATTCTTTTTATGGCAATTTTCTTAATTAAATAGCTCTCTTTTTAAATACTTTTCCAACGAATTTTTTTGTAATTCCAATAAATATTTTAAGTAAATGTTTTTTTTACAAATAGCTGCAAATTAGGATTTTTTTTCTTAAAAAATGGATTTACACCGAAATAGGTTGTTTTTAGATTTTTTTGATATTGATGGAGAAGAAGCTAGTTTTAAAATATAAAGAGTAGTTTTTTCAATATAATATTTTCAAGTTTTGTATAATTAATACTCCGTAATTTATTATACAACTTTTATGAATATTAATTGTTTTTTATTTTATATTTATATAAAATCAACTGGATGATATAATTAACTTATCTACAAATCCGTAGGTTTACTCTACGATGGTAACTTTCTTATAGATGTTGAGAGAGGTGCTAAAATAACATCTTTATAGTGGAGCCCACACTTGAGCATCTAATGAGAGATGTTGCCATTGTGGATGCTCTTAGTACACCACCTCCTAAAAGTGTATATATTTAAGAACTAATCAAAATCCCAAAAAATATAAATTAATCAATTTAAGATTTTGAAAATTTATGTTGATTGTATAACGGTAACAAAATTTTATCTCGAGGACACTTTTTTTAAAAATAAACTATGGCATTAAATCAAATTTTTATTTTATTGAGATAATACTAATTATAATTGTTGGAATTTTTGGCTTGTAACATGACAATTTCGGACGTAAATTTGCTGGGATCCACAAAATTATTTTTTCAAAATAATTATGGATGAATAATCTCCATAATAGAGACATAGTTGAAAAAAGAGATAATTAGAACAAAACTTTGGACGTAAATTTGGCGGGATCTACAAAATTATTTTTCCAAAAAAATATATTATTCATGATAGAACAAAACATACTGATGTTAGATTTCATTTTATTAGAGATAGTTGAAAAGGGCATTGTCATGCTGGAGAAAATTCTTATGGAGTCTAATCTATCTGACATGGGTACTAAGTATTTACATGTTGAAAAATTTACCTTATGTCAAAAGATTTTAAACATATATTTGTGATTGTGTGTTGATTTTTTGTTCTTTTCAGTCTTTGTGATTTTTGCTTTTCTTTTGTTCATTGAACTCTGACCCAATGGTAGAGTTCGACTATTCATGAGTTATTTTTGGCATGCTTTGTGATGTTGTCTAGTCTTCGTGACTTGAGAGTACTTTGTGAACTTCCCACCCCCTAAGTGTGTTCTCATTTGTTGATTACACATTTAGTGGTTATTAGGCTATGATGAGTCTCGCGATTCCTTGTCAACTATGTGCACTAATTTGGGCTAGAAGTGGAGATTGTTAATTAATTGGGTATTGGCCCAAAGTAATTAATAATGCATCAAGCCCAACAGCTCATTTTACTTAGCTCATCTCTTATTCTTTATCCTAATTAAGCTTGCCTTAATTAGCTCTTAATCTCTACTATATATTGAGGGTGTCCCCTTGTGTTTTCACCGTGCAAAAAAAAAAAGAGGGGGGCCTTTGTGAGTTCTCCTTTGTGTGAGTTATCTTCCTCCGTGTGTTCATCTTGTTCTTCTCCGTTTCTTTGTGAGTTGAGTGTGGCGAGATTAGATTGGGGTGCTGCTCCTTTTGGTATCCTAATAGTGCACAACTACGGACCGAATTTTACGAGTGACTTGAGCCTAATCGGGATAAATAAATACTCATAACAATTTGAGTGACTCACATTTTTTTCTCTCTTTTACACTTTTAACGAGAAATTTACCTAAAAAGTATTAAAACATAATGACTTTTCCAATATAGGACTATATGTCATTATGAATTAGTCATTATTCAACTAAATGTCCAGCATCACTTGGACATTATTCTTCTCACTAGTCATTATTTAGTCCTATTTAGAGAATAAAAAAGTTTAAGTCTTACATTGGGAAATGACTTATGTTTTAATCCTATTTAGTGCAAATTTCACATAAAATTATGTTGTATTCTCCATAGTTGTCGACTTGTCTTCACACTTTCGTTGCCAGTTCTGTTTTCAATATTGAAACTTGAATTGCATAGATTTCAAACTCCAGTTCTAAGTCTCTAGAGTCTAATCTTCAGATTTTAGTTAAAATTACTACGAGTACTATTCAATCAAGATTCCAATTTCAAAACTCTAGTTACCAAACTTTGTCCATAAGAAAATCGGCCCAATTCTATTAACACGGCAATGTCAGTGGTTTTTTAAGTGCATTTCTCTTTGCAAAACTAATGATTCTTACCCCTCCTTAAACTCTCCTCTTATCCCCTACGCCAACCCCAAACCACACCCTCCTCTAATGTAGGGTCATTATGCAATATATAATGACCAACATTTGGATGAGATTAGAATTGAGAGTTAGAGGAATAGAAACAATCAATTTGTTAAAAAATCAGTGACATTGCTATCCAGTGACAACATAACCAAGGCCAAAGAAAGTATGTTCTCAATTTTTATTGTCCATAATTGAAAGAGTTCAACCAGTCACACACATTTTAGGTCTTAAAACAAATCAGGGCTTTATTGTGTGTTACATCATAACCCTCATGTGTAAACTTCATGAGCAATAATGTTTGTGTATCTTGTGATGAATTCCTAAACCTAGAATTAGGAAAACCCCGAGATCTATATCCATTAAGAATTATATTTGTTATTTGTTTTTGAATATTACAAAAAAAAAATAATGTATCAATGGTTGAAGAACAACATATAGGTGCTCTAAGATTATAATACCGGCACAGAAATGGACACAGTCACAGAAACATCTCCGGCAAAACTTGCGTCCCTTCCCATGGCCGAGTTCCCCGCCAATGCATACCCCACCCCTAACCCGCCGTAATGCACCGCCCCCGAACCGCGTTGGAAGACCCGGGCAAGCGACGCCGCTTTTCTCCTCGCCCGTTTCGTCCCCGTGAAGAGCAGAGACTGAAGCAGCCCGGCCAGCGCCGGCGCCCTCAGAACCCTCTCCGCCGCCGCCTCGCCGCCGCCCCGGCACAGCTCGAGCAACACCGCCACCGCGTTCTCCTTCGCCTTTGGGGTCCCACACCTCATCAGCCCCGTCAAGAACGCCACCGCGTTCTCCTCCCTCCCCACCGCCGCCGCCCCGACCGGCTGCCGGACGATCAGCGCCAACGCGCCCACCGCCTCTTCCGCCACGGCTTCCGTCCCCAAAGCCCCGACCAACGCGCTAACCGCGCCGGACTCTATCATCCTATTGCAAGTCTCGGCGTGCGTGGAGAGGTTAAACAATGCCGTAACCGCGTCCTTCTTGCCCCTTTGTGACCCATCCCTCAAAAGACCAACCAATGCCTCAACAGCGCCTTCCTCTACCGCGATTCTCTTCTTGTAGTCGTGAACCGCTGAGAGACTGAATAGAGTGGCAGCGGCATTTTCCCTGGCTTCGGGCGTGTGCCCGGTCCTCAGAACCCCAACTATTAACTCCAAGCACCCTCTCTCGTCCATTATTCGCCCTTTGTTCTTATCATAGATGGACAGGTTAAGAATTGCGGTCACGGAGTTTTCTTGGGCAGCGGCATTGGGAGAAGGTAGCAGGTTTTTAAGGTGAAAGATGGCTCCGGCTTCGGCAATGTAAGCACGGTTCTCCTTCCCTGTTTTGGCCAACAATCTGATCTCCTGAGCAGCTATGGCCTTAGCCTTCTGGGTGCCATCTTCAAGCTGTTTTATCAGATGGGACGCCGTGGCTTTATTAGCCTCGAACGTCGCCTTCCCCAGGGACACTGCCCCAAAAGAATCCCCACACGAGGACTCCCCGGTCTCGGGCAGGTCGCAGAGCGGCATGTTATGGGCAGCACACCACTGAATGATCAAATTCTTGAGAGCCCTATTGGGCACAAGCCTGGTGTGTGCAAGGATTTGTCCTGTTTTCGGGCAGTTACAGTGTCCCTCCTCCATCCACCTCAGTATTGAAGGGCGATCGTACGTTTGCCCGGTGGATACAATGACCGGATCGTACATCAAGTCCAAAGAAATCGGACAGCAGAAATCCTTTGGAACTGGAACACAAGCTTCCTGTGTTTTAATGGTGGACAGATTCTTAGCATGCCCGAATTCAAAGTCATCATCGTCAAAACCAAACAACAAGAACCGGGAGTATCGGGTAATTGCCACAAACCCATTAAGTACAGAGGCAGTGGGATCACTATCTCCTTCATGGTTCATAACCTGTTCCTCCAAGAACTCAATTTCCAACCTGCAACTCCTTGCGTCGCGAATGTGCAACTTCTCCACAAAGAACAGGTGCAAATCACGAGAATCGGGGACTCTCCCGTTCTCGAACTCGTTCAAGAAAGCGTACAGCTTCAACCTCAAGAGCTCATCGTGCTTATCGATGAAAAGTTGAGATTTTTTGGATTGTTTTCGCAACAACAGTAATTGTTCTTGAACATCATCAGATAAATTCAAACAGTTTATGGGCAAAACATCCAAAAGGGTCGAGATTTCCTGGTTCAGATCGTGAAAATGGCCAGAAATGGAGTGGTTCTGCAGCAAGAGCCACAGTCTACTCGAATGGACACAATAATCAAGCAGGATTTTTGAGCGGTAAAGCAGAAGGTACAACTCTTTAAAGCACAAAAAAGCAGCGGAAGGAAATCCGGAAGAACCTCTGTTTTCCACTAGGCATTCCATGGCTACGGAGAGGACCTGTATCTTCCGGAGGAGGAATTTGGAATTCTTCCGCTGGTGAGCCGGCGGCTTGCCGGAAAAGGAAACAACCAGCTCCTTCGCAACCGCCGCCAGCGTCTCCACCAAGGCCCAGTCCGCCAGATCCATGGGAGCTATAAACGCCTCCAGAGACGGCAACCTCCGCCGCCTCAAGGAAGAGAACATAGCCGCCGACGCCATTCCGATCAACGGAAAAACCCAAAAATCAGCTCCGAAAATCAGCAGAAAATCTTAATCAGCAAAATCAAATCGAGGGTTTTGAAGGCATGAATTGAACACGTACACGCATAAGAACCGGAATAGATACTGGTAAATCAAGAAAAGAAACGCGTGAGAGGATAAATAGGAAAGGGGGGAGAAGAAGAAGGAAGAAGAAGGAGAGTGGGGCGGGGTTGTTGACGTTTATTAATGCTTCCCATTTCGTCAGTCATTACTGAATTTTCAACCATCTCAACAGTGTTCCCATCTTTTTCTTTTTCCTTTTTTTTTTTTAATTTTCCCATCCTTTTATGGTTTCCTCTCATCATGTATTTACCCATTAAAAAAATGCATGCGCTTCATAGGCCCCCAAAAGTCAAATGGATAGGACAAAGATGAAATTTGCAAAACATTTTGTGGTCTAGTAGTATTACCTATTCTATAAGAAAAGTGTTACATATATCTTACTTTGTACCCTAAACCATTACCATGACATTAAATATAGGTACAAAACTAGTATTATGTCAGTGTACAAAGTAGGGTACAAATATGGAATACATGTAACATGCTCCCTTCTATAATTCTATGGTCAAAAGATAAAATTTTTTTAAATATTTTTACAGACCGATATTGAAATATTTTACTTCTTTCCTCCCACAAAACTTTTATTTTTTCTTTTTTTATCTGTCTCAAAAAACATTTCTCATTTTTATTAAAAAGTTACTTTTATCCCTATTAATTCATAACATACATATCCATCACGCTCTTTCACTATTAATTTACTCACATTTAATTTTACCCATCAAATCCATGGTCATTTTTAAAGTCAATACCAAAATTTTTTCTCTTTAAATATTTCAAAAGTCAAGATCAAAAAAAATTTTTGGGACGGAAGGAGTATTTTTTTCAAAAGCATAATCCATCTATAATTTATACTATCTCCGTCCCAGAATATTTATCCACTTTCACTTTTACACATCATCCAATGCACTTCTTTAATCCATTTTATCTTGTAATTTGTATGTTAAAAAATTATAGAAATTATATATTAATAATCTATATGTTAAGACAAATCAAACAAGATCACACATGACTATATTTAGGCTTACACATTGAGAGAATTTGATGAGTCAAAGTGCTTAGATGAACAGTTCCAAAAGTCAAAACTGGACGAATACTCCGGGACGGAGGTAATATATACTAAGATTCATAAAACGGGTGTAGAGCTTAGAACCACAGAAGAATTTGTCATTACTGTGAGTCCCCTAAATTTAAAGTAGACCCATATATATATATATATATATATATATATATATATATATATATATATATATATATATATATATATATATATATATATATATAGGGGCCGGTTCCTGTGAGAATGCACCTTGTGGAAAGAAATGAGAATGAAATCTAGCCGTTGGATCTGATGCATCGTGCGGCTCAGATTGCATCCTGCGCTCAGATTTTGAGATAGTGCATTTTCAAAGGATTATGATGCATTTTGAAACTATTTTGTTGCACCTAATTTTGATGCAATCCTGACCCTTAGATCGCACAATCTAAAGCACCAGATTCATTCTCATTTCTCTCCCAAGATTGCATTCTCACCAGAACCAAAATCTATATATATATATATATATATATATATATATATATATATTAAAAATGGGTAATTGCATTTCATAATCATGGAGAAGATTGCGAGGCAGTGGGAGGAAACAAGATTTGCCTTAACTTTGAAGGAATATTTTTTTGCTTTCATTATATGAAGATTTCACATTTTGTTTGATTCTCTCTCAAAATAATTTCTTGAGTGCATTGGCAAGATATTCATTTTTAATAATGTGTTTTTCTAAATCAGTCATCTTTACGTGATACTTTATTATTGAAATTTGCTCGTCCTCGCCAAAAAACTCCGTTACATGATTGTTAATAAGTAAGACATCTTTACTGTTTTCCATTGACTAATGTTAGAGTAAGCTTTCAAAATAATCCTCTTTAAGTAAGTATTTTCCCAAAATAATATTTTTGCATTATGAGGGTGTATATCATTCAAATGTTAGGGCAATATTAAATATTTGGGCGTAGCAAAGTAAGATATTGAATTTCTCCAACAGACTTCAGAAAAATGGGAGGATTGTCGCAGGGGACCTCAACGCCATTTGTCGAAGAACTAAGACGGATTGGAGTGGAAGCAGGATTGCAAGTATCAACAACATAGTGAATGAGTTCTTTAGCATTCTTGGATTGATGATGGAGCAACTCATCAGAGTTGCGCCCAACTTCTACGCTTAGAAAATACTATTTAAAAAGACCCAGAACTTGCATCTTAAACTTTTGATACATGCTCTGAATAAAAATCTGGATGATAGTAGAAGAAGAATCAAGAACAATAATATTATCAACATAGAGTAATAAGATAAGAGTGCCTTGAGAGAAGTGCTTGTTGAAAATACTGGTGTCATGAGCAGTGGTGGTGAATTCCTATGCCAAAAGAAAGGCGGAGAGCCGAAAGTACTAAGCTCGGTGGGGCTGCTTAAGGCCATCAGCGATTTCTCTAACTTAAAGACATGTTGAGAATGAAACCTTTAATCAATGTGCTCGAGAGGTTACGTCATATAAATATCTTCCTGTAACTCACCATGCAAAAAAGCATTAGAAACCTCTAGTGGGTGAAGAGACCAATTATGATGTGTGATCAAAGGTCATACAACACGGATAATATGCTGCTTTGCAATCAATCAAAACTGAATGTCTCTCGGTAGTCAAGTCTGTATTCTTAATCATACCGCAGCCTTTTGTAACAATGTGAGCTTTATAACGATACACTAAACCATTTGAATTGTGCTTCATGTGATAGACTCGTTTGCAACTAATGGGATAATGATATCTAGGAGGAGGGACCAATATCCATGTACCATGTCTCTACTTTCTAGATGCAATAGACCCACTTGTAACCAGTGTTAGAAGAAAAAAAAAATTTCTGGACTTACAACCACAAGTTTGAGCTTGTAGTTAAATTGATTCTATTACATGTAATGGCATCAAAGCTTTGTTGACCAAGAGCCACAAGTTCGAAATTTATTGCACCGAGTTTAAAAATTTTAAAATTTCATGTGCAAGGCTCAAAGCGGCCACACATGTGAGGAAGCATGTTATAATAAAAAAAATTTATGGGCCTACAAGACTCAAGCGGTCACGTCTGCACGTGAGAGAACATGTTAAAATATAAAATATTTTGCGGGCCTATAAGTCTATAACCACTACTCCACAAGCTTGCACTTGTGGCTGAGTTGATTTCTTGACGTATACTTTCTATTTATATAAAATTTTTGTGACTCACATTTTTTCTCCTCTTTATATGAGTTCTTTATATCATACATCTAGATGTACGTTGTCTTTCGTACATTGACGTAATTACTCATTCTCGGGTAACCGAATATTCATTTTGTATATCTAATATCTTTTAGTATATATTATAAGATGTACGGAGTACTACGGTACATTACAAATTAGGCAAAATACATATATGTACCTTCATTCAAAAACTACATAATACTTACTATGTGATGTACATTTGCGAGTAACACAATGTTCATTTCAATTAAAACAATCATGAATGTATAACTAAAAAAAATATGAAAATTGACTATTCAGATACTCGAAAATTAAAATTCGTCGTTAATGTAAGAAAAATATCGTAAATCTAGCTATACCATATATATATTTCCTCTACATCATTTTATTCATATAATTTTAATTTTTATAAATTGGTATCAAGTCAAACAAAAATTATTAATTTGTGATTGAACAAATATTTTTACCTAAAAGTGCGTCTATATTGACAAATACTCCGTAACAAAGTCCATCAAAAAACATGATAAAAGAAGGGGGGGGGGGGGGGGGGG